AAAACGTCATAGATGTAAATTATCCCTTTGGTACACAAAAATTAAGCACTATATATCATTATCAGGACCAAACGTCTTATCCACATGTTTGTATATTATGATATATAACGTCCTTTATCTTAAGTCAAAACTCGATATCACCTCGCGTCCATAACAATGTTGGCTTTGTTGGCGGTAAAGCTACAAGCTCTAGGTTAATGTTGTGACAAGACTTACTTCAGTATTGATTTCGTTTGAAGGTGAATAATACCTAGTCTTAGTTTTACATTTAACTCCGGGTATCTATCAAGCTATGCTGTATACCGCCGATTTGACCAACCCAAGCAGCGATGGGACACCATTTGCCTGAAGATAATAATACCTTTATTTACAATCCGCCAGAAACCTTCGCTTTATATATTGTCATATGTACATGAATATATTTCGTATGTTAATGAGGCACATTAATTCTCTGTCATAAAGCATTCTCCCTTTGAATTTATTTATGTTAGTAAAAACCTGGTGATATATTTGCACACATCTTTACCTGAGGATTTCATGTCGAGAATTTTAACTTATTAAACATACCTTTTAAGGGATATCTTAATCAGATTTAACTCCGCAATGCATGGTTTACTACATGGGGTGTAACTGATATATAGTTACGTATTTTAAAAACACATTCAATGATGAGTTTTTACTGTAAATATTGTTTTTCGCAGGGCTACTGTTTTCGCGGTAACAACTTTTCAACGAAAAATATATATAGCCCGCGAATCATTTCGAATTTAAGTTCACCTTACCACAGCAGTATGTGCAATCGTCACTGAAACTGAAATATGCGAAAATGGATCCCGCGCAATTATTCATTTAAGGAAACATGTGAAAATAAGTGGACGCAAAAAGGAGACTTTAACAGTATCACGTTAGATTTATGTTTTGTAACATACATCTATGAAAACGATTCGTAGTGTGTAATAAGTCACAAATAAAATGTCGTACAGTATGTAAGTTAAGTGTGAATTATTTTCCTCCATGCATGCTACTTATTTACGCGACTTAAACATTTTTTTTGTCTTTACAAATCAAACGAACTGTATAGAATGATAAAACTTTGTTATAAGAATAACAATATGCATCGGTGTATATTATAACAATGATATGGTATATATATAATTCATAAAATGTACCTTGTTTATATTTCAATAAGCGATATATATAAATCAATTGTCTGTCATTATAATCATTAGTTAAGTATCCAATATTTATAATAATGATGTGGCATACATATCAAAAGGTTTAGTTTTCTATATCATAATTACTGGTTCATATATCAAAAGGTTTGCTTTTTATATCAAATACATTGGTTTATATATAAAAAAATATATATCTGCTGCATATACCAACATGTTTGATTTATATATCAAAAGATAAAGTGTATAATTAAATAAATGATATACGATATTGATAATAAAAGATCTGATGCAAGGCATAAAGAATTAGGTAATGTATATAAATGATCTTGTGCATATCATAACAAAATCCTTACGTTTAATCTGATAAATTACTTGGTTAATATCACATTACATTATCTAAGTGTATGTATTAGAAGCTCTGGAATATGTCACAAATTGTCTAGTTTTGATTTCAATAAAGAACTGGGCCGTATTCATGAAACCATTCTCATGCTCATTAATAAATTCTGTGCTCAAGCCAACTTTCGTGTAACTCGCTTGAATTATGTAACACAGTCAGAAAGTGAAACATTGAAAACAGAACTCGGCTTTAAGTTTCTCCAAAATTGCCTTATCGTCAATTAAAAGTTAAGTTTTGTTCATTTATCACAGGACAAGAATTTGGGTTGGAGCAGAGAACATGGGTTTCAGGAATACGGGCCATGGTTTTTATCTTAAGAATCTTCTGTATAATTATGACTATGATATGGTGTATATAATTAAAATAAAATGATATCGACATTCCTTCGTGTACAGGTATGTACTTAATAAGCATTATGAGTATAAATTCATGTTTACATATCATAAAGAACTGTAATAAGTAAATCCGATGACAATGTGTTCTAATAGATATTTACTTGGTTACCCCGACATGGGTGAATGAGGGTGTACCTTAATTTAGTGCAGGTCATGCCCATCTACTTTTATTTCATTCATATCTGTTTAATCAAGTTTTGCTAAAGTAAATCACCTCTTTGGCTTTGAGTGGTATATGCTTTAAAATATAAAGAGTTATAACATACTGTGATTAATGTACAAATTTGCATACGCTGTGATTGAAGTATGATCGATTGCTTTCAGTTCTACAGGACGTTCCTGATCGAGGAACAAGACTCTGATATCCATTTTAAATAACCTCACATGTTAGAGTGGATTTATCGCTAAATTAACACAGGTCTGCTAATTCATCCTAACACTCAGTATGTTGTATCGTGCCAAAATAGGAATTTTTCATACATGTTAAGGTATAAAGGCTGTAAGGAAGAGACATATAGATATGTTAAGTGTCGAAAGATACATGACTATCTATGAACGCAAAAATATTCTGCTAAACTCCATGTTTGGTCGGTTGCAAACAATACTTTTAACAATATGTTATCAATCTTATCGATATTTTAAACAAAAATATTTTTATTTCAATTGTGATACAATTCTGAAGGTATATTAGGGTCTTTGAAGAATCACTCAATTGTATTTGACTGTTAAATAGCATGTCACACGAATTCCTTGGGTCGCGTGGCTCCTATCGTCACCGAGGGGGAAAAAAACAGTTCACCATGGGAATTCAAAACAGAATGTGTGATGGTGGTAGTATCGATGCTCTTTTCAGATCATATCTGACAATAACTTATCAATTAAGTAGATGAACCTCCACTCGACGTGTATTGATCCCAGTGTCTATCCGGAGCAGTGCTTGACTATCGCAGGGAACACTTGTGTGTGACATGATGATTGTATATGGTGGTTATTTAGTCAGCCACTCCATTGTTAGTAGGTAACTCTATATAATATCAATATGTCAGCCGTGCCCCGGGTGTCATCCACAGTTATGTATGGGCCGATAGCTGGTCGATACGATTCTGTTTCCACATGTAGGACACATTAATCCAACAGTGATCCGTAATCAACAGATATATATCTTTCCCATACTCACCATATAGAATTAACACCAGTTTCTCCCGGGCAGGTTTTCCATGACGTTTCCGATCTAATTGAATATCTTGTCGCGCTATTTATGGCGCTGTATGATTGTAGTTATAAACGATCAAAAGGGCTATGTTCCACTATAGTGCGTACAGACCTATTCATATTCCTTAATGAAATTAGAATGACTTTACATACGTTTACAGGATTTAATCAGTAATTATGCGTGGTTCCTCGAGAAAGGGGTGGTGAAACGATTTAAAATAAACTGCATACACATGTGTTTGTATTTCCATACTTCCCTTCAATAGCAAGTATAATAGATCAGCTGTGTCTGACGTAAACCTCGTGAGAATCACAAAAAATTTATTGTGCGTGCTGATCGTTACGTCGTCACAACTCGTAGTTTGCTAATCTATTATTTAAAATCTATCTCCAATTTGAAAGACAATTCAAAAATCAATGCATAGTCAAATTAATGATAGGTACAGACTTAATTAAAACTGTAATAAAAAATGATAATTTTACCCCAGCTTTGATTATTTTGTTATAAGAAGTTTATCTTGTCAACATAGTTCTGAATGTACATAATTGTCTATCATCCTTAAAAAACTGACCAGCATTGTTACAAAGAAAACACTAACAAACAGGTTCGACTATATAATGGTTAGACAGGAAGATACATTGATTGAAGAAAGGCTGTGTCAGGACCTGATACCTACAGGACTTATCCTTGTACTCACTTATGTTCTCGGTTTGGTCATAGTTAACGTGTGGACTTATCCGGGTTGTTATCATTCTAGAGCACTCTTTGATTGATTGCTTGTTTACGTAGTTTAACGGCCTCTTAACTACCTGGTAGTTCGGTTAACAAATAATCCGCCTGTCCTGCTTGTTCTAATTTTTATTCTTTTTCCTTGAGCGACAACTCCTTGACCTAAAGTTGCCAAATTTATTTTTCCTGAAGACTCTTGTCGCCTAGCAATGCGACGTGCCAGCGCGACCGGAAAAGGGCACCAAAGCGGCCACCAACCCAGCAGCTCTAAGCTAACTGAAAACGTTTTGTTTCATGTTAATGATTCTGAAGTCCATGTAAACGTCAAATAAAGAGAACCAATACCCAGCTTCAAAATAAACTTAACACTAGTCGCTTGGTCGGCGTCATCATGTCTACCTCCTTCGAAAATACTCGTAGGGATATTTATCGTGCGAGTTCTCACACTGGCTACCATTTGAATATGTACATGTAGTTCCATTCGACAGACTGTGGGGTTTCGTAGTAGCATCTGGTTGGACTACCCCAAGGCTACATGCTTAAGGTGTTGCTTTATGAAAGTCAAGTTTTAATTAATTGAAGGAATACTGATATCTTTAAGTAGTTTAACCTTCTGAAACAACGGAATCAGTGTCAACGCCGAGACCTTTAGTCAATCCTGTGCCGTTGTTTGATTACTGACATGTTATTGTGAATCAACAATTATCGTAATATATCTTAATACACTTCTAATGCAGACATATTGATTTACCACTTGTTGTGCTCATTACATGGCCTTGTGAGGTTGTTACCACTACCCGAGTTCTCGCAATGAGGCCGTTACAAAACTTGGAATTTACCGAGATTTACATGAGGGATGTCTTCGATGAAACAGAATACGCTTTCCCTTCCGGAACATTTGGTCACCTGGTCTCAGTCTCTTTGTACCTTTGCAATGGCCTAAATGTACATCATGCCGCCACACGTTTTACGTCGTTTCATTTCATTATCGTAGTTGTCGCTTACTGCACTGTTCATGTACAACGCTTTCAAATGATCCTACTTGCAGATGCATTGTCAACTAATATGTTGTTGTTTCTTTTAAACAGGAAAAAACCGAAGCCACAGAAACTATGTGGCTGGGAAGTGGACGATGTAACTAGTCATACTCTAGGTAACGTAACGCATGTTTTAATGTGCATCTTCAATATTTATTCTCAAAAATAAGATTTGTTTGTGTTTGTGTGTAATATCAAATTTAATTATAATATAGAAAATCAAATAGTTCGAGATATTCATTGCATAGTGGCAAGTCAAAGTTGGGAGCAATCATTAATTATTTACACTTCCTATACGAATGCTTTTAAAAATGTTCATTTTTATCTGATTTTATCTTCGCTAGTCACATGTTTGTTAAGAATCAATAAATATATCAACATGGCTCTAAATGACCACAGTTGCTGATGGGCCGTTAAACTCAAACAAACAAACAAACAAGCGATTGTTGGAGGGTGCTATCTTTAATCTGCGAACCAGATATAACAATCAGCATACAGACCTTGATTATTAAGTTATATAATATTGATGTGTATGTGATGGCAACTATCCTGAGTTTAATGTTTATTCGATATTCATTATACTGACGCCTCTATATACGATAATCCGTACTCTGATTTTGATGTTTATGGGATATTCAGAACTCTTTCACTGGTAAACGTAATCAGTATGACCAACAAATCTTCTTGGGCAAGCCATATTTATATCAATGGTTAGGCCGCTTAGCTGGACATAAAAACACCCACCAGATGTTCATAAGTCGATCAAATGTCGATCATGCAAATATTGTTTTGAGTGGCTATGTACACGACGTCTGAGTACTAAAACACGAAATCGAAAATATGTATTAGAAATATTTGGTCTAGTTTTCACCCAAGTTTCCATTGATCATCTGTGTGCCTAACAGCGTTACTATCCTCTTAGACAGCTGTATAGTTGGCACCATGTCCCCTCGTTATAGGAATCTGCGCGTTAGTCAATGTTAAGATTTTGGACTCCAAGACACTGTTCATGTCAACATGTAAAGTCTCGATTCAATTTACATGTCAACGTACTGAAAAGCGTAAAGTTTGAACATGCGCCTCTGTTTAATGTTTCAGGTATCGAGACATGGAGTAACCTACAAGTTCAAATCCACGAGCGCCACGGTAAGGGTTGTAGGACGAGTGATCCGCCACTAATACTAGGATAAAAGTAATCCCTATTGATCACTGACTAACAATTCAATAATAATAAATCACAAATTGGATTGACCTTACGTGTGGTCAGCTCGCTCTATACACAACCCAACAAACGAAGTATCGACTATATATAGTCTGTTTATGATTAAGGTAGACTTTCGGGAACATTATTTTAATGCTAAACAGAGGTCATTTTTTCACGTTTATGTCAAGCAGGGTGCAATGATGCGGAGTGCACCAGTACTTCGTGTTGAGTCGAGCAAGATTTTAGAAGTAAATAAAGGGCTTGTTATCAATTATGAACCCCTCTACCGATGTTGTGATGTGTTTTAACTGATAACTGATACATCAAGCTGCAAAACACTTCAGCATTAAGTAACGTGTTTTTACTTCTTTTTTGTTATAATCAAAATCTAAAGAATTTTGATAGCTTATTTGAAATTCAATTTTGTCAGATATTTACTGCAGTAATATTGTAACAAAGTTAATTTACATTGTGCGGATTCGAAATATCAAATATAGGAAACGGACAATTTAAATGTTATGACCTACATCAATGCCAATGCGTCAACGTTTTGAAACTTCACCAAAACAAAGTGTGGCACATCATGATGTAAGAACTGTAAGTGTTCGGCAAAACGGACATTGAAAGCATGTTATCGGATTTTTGTTTGTAATAAACCAATTAAAAACTGTGTCACGCTATCTATAGTTAACATTTCAAGTAGGATTCATTTTAATTAAAAAGTAATACGGAAATTATACAACAATTCTGAAACAAGTTTTATCATCTTACTAAAGAACATTAATTATTCTGGTCTACGCGGATGTTAGCGCTCAGCGAGTCCCAAGGTGTGAGGAAGTGAGATAACCCGAAAAAACCCAATGTGGTCGGGCAGGCGACCGTTACTTTTTCTCATCCGAACGGGGAGTTGACCCCCGCCGTCCTGGTAAAAGGCGAGTGTGCTATACGCTGCGCTAACTGACCACCCGATAACCATAACCAACGGATCAGTAAACAAACCATCATATGTTTTGGCTTCAAACTCCAGTTCTGGTCCTTTATATCGCTTGTAGATTTTGAACATGCATGCATTAGACTAAGCTGTGTTTTCAAATACAAAGAAATAATTGAGAAACCTAGGTCTAATTATTATGTTTAAGCTACGCAAATCGAAGCGCTGTTAGTAATGGGCCCGACCCGCTTGTATATACTAACGCAATACTCGTGTAAACACTGATTAATTTGAAGTGCTTATTCTATTTTGTAGGAAAACTCAAAAATGTACCAGAGCACGCTACGTACAAACATTTACCCAAACGAAGGTGCTCTGGTTTCGAGGACACCGATTCATTCGAGAAAGAAAGTCTACATGAACATTTCTTCAGAAGAAAGCCCGATATTGAAGACTCGAATACCTCTATAAATTCTAGTCCAAACACAGTCACACAGCTGCCAAATGGACCTGCTCGTAAAAGAAGCACACACGCAGTGCGTGTACGGACGGCGGGTTCTGTACGTCCGAGTGATGAGGAAAGGTCGAAGACGCGGGATGACCTTGGAGTGCCATACAAAGAAAGTGGCTGCGCTATCCAGACCCTCCCCAGGACTGGCTTGCCTTTCGGTCTGACAAGGGCGGTAACTGACCTTGGAGAGGAGAGATCACCCACCATGCGCAGAATGCTTTATTACTCCCGAAAGTACGCATCTAAAGACGACGACATACACGATGAGGAGGAAGATGAGGGCTACGATTCTAAGACTCCAAGTGAGGAAAAAGAAATAAAGTTGTTTGAAACTCCTTTAATTATAAATCAATGCAGTCCTGCCAATGGCCGGTATCATCAGGACTTTGCTCGTGCAAGCAAGAATGGGCAGCGCGTGGCTAAGTTCTCATACACGCATCTGTCGTCTCGGCCTGTGGGTTACGGACCCTTCGACGACGATCCGCGTAATGGTGCTGATCCGAGGACTTCCGGTGAAACGCATAAAAAATCTAAACAGTATTTAGAAGAATCAAAGGAAAATATTAGAAATAGCAGAAAGTTGGAACGTTCACATACTGTTATGGTTGACAAGAACGACACAATAACAGCCTCGGAGGATCGACCGTCTACAATTATATTACGTAAGATTAGTATACAAAATTCCCACGGAGAAGGAACGCATGAGACAGTGTTCGATCTCCAAAAGTCGTTTCATAGATCACAAACAACTATAAATGAACATACTTCGGATATGGAAAATTATCCTGTCAACGTTTCTAGTTCCGAACTAACGTGTCCACAGCATAGGCCATATTCACGAACTTCGCAAAAGATTACAATTGACTCGAGTAAGCTCGCTACGGGAGACGTTTTGCGAAAGACGCACGCGGGTATATTCGATTTGCAGCGGTCCCATACGACAGTGTGCATGCCGATTGGAGAATTGCTTCCAATGGCAGATCACTTCCACACCAAGTCGACATTGTCCGCTTATCCGGAACTCCCCACTACGCCCAGTAGCGCTCGCGACCCGGAGGACAATTCTAAACTGGCTAATATGGATGACGCCTCCCTCGATTATTACTCAATACACAAAAACAATGTAAGTGTTAATTACGACTCATACTATAGGGGTTAAATGTGTGTTGATGCATTAGGATAGCTATGCTGTATGGTTTATAGTACCCCAAGCAAAGATGATTGATGAAAGGGTTTATATTTCAGTTAAGAAAGACAACGTTAGCTTGGTCATTCCCGGCAACAAAGATTGTCTGTTAATAAAACTTTTTTGATCAAGGTTCATAGTCAAGCAAACCAAAGCAGTGCAATATATTTGTTTTTAAACGTAAGTTAAAAAAAAAGGTGTTAATGCTGTCAAGGTTTGCTTAAAAGAGTGCAAGATCCCTACATAAGTTGATAAAGGTAGTGTACATTTTAGTCTCGTGGACACTTCTTCAACAGTTGTGCAATGAAAATGATAATGATAAGCATTAATACCCATCCTTTCATTTAGAAGCGCAATGTGCGTTAACATAGAGACGACCCTGCCCAAGCCCCGACCAGTCCTGGAGTCCGAGTTGATTCTATTCAGACAGTGGAAGAAAGATAACTCTAGATCGTTTTGTAGTATTCCGCTGATGGAATGACCAAAACGCAATGAATTGGTGTAAAATAAGTACACATAGTTTCTAGCTAAAATATTTTTTAATGTCATAATGTAAATGGTTTGAAAACGAAATGTTTTCATTGCCCAGCAAGGTCCTCTCCTTAATGCATGTGGTTCAAAATTATCAGAAATGGAAATGGCCTGGGTAAATAGAAATTAACTAATAGAGATATTATATGTGTAATAAACCTTTGTACAAAACATCGATAATATCACGTAACAAGGAAAGGCAAAGGAGCTTGCGCAGTCTTGCTATTTGCGATATGTAATATGTTAATATTTCATGACCCAATAGGAAAAGTATATTACTTGATAGACATTTAGGCTTAAGTATCCCAGTCCCACGTACTGCACTGCCGTTACACCCCGTTACTACAGTAACACCCCCTTGACTTTCGTTAAGATATAACTGTAGCACAGTTAGGCAATGCCACTTCCGTTGACCAGGTAGAGTGATAGTATATCAATCTGAACTTGATTATATTTTGTTTGTTTTCATCTTTATTATTTATCATAAAAGTCCTGCCAGGTATGGGTTTTTTTTAACAGAAACGATTTATCAAATCTGTAGATATACAAGAAAAAATAGTTTCCATCACTTCGTTACAGTTTTGGGCAGTGGTACGGGGACCTTTAAGAAGTTTTTCGAAGGTGTTTGACGGATTTTGAGATTTTGTAACTATTTGAGCTCGGGTTTGGAGCCTAAATGTAGTTAAAATAAAATAATTTCTTATAAATTGCAGTCAACACATCAATAGACACCGTCTCTGTTTTCTTGAAAATACAAAAGTGTATTATTTGGAACATTATAAGGTAGATTGTGATAAAGATATTTATGAGACCGAGCCTTCTATGTGTTATATTATGAAACAACGACAACTTCATGTTTTCAAAATTAATTTTTTATCAGGTATACCTCGTCGTATTCTATAAAGATCGTTTCATCCATTAACATTATATTTTGTTTTTATCTTTTGTGCACTTTATCCTGTAGCGTTGTGACTAGGGGTAATGTCGATATGTATATGTATTTGTCGACAGTATGTTTGAAAGTACCATCAAAGAAAAATTGCAGAATTTAAGTAAATATTAGTTGAATTTATCAATGAGCTTATACGATCTGGTAACACAAACTTAGACAAGTGCTTAGATTTCACAGTCAGATATATTTACGAAGTGCTGTCTTCATATAAACCTTTCCGTAGGTCGTAATGTGCCCGAGGTTTATCGATTTATTGTTTTGTTACAAATACAGTGTAGGTATCCTGATATTTTTTAATGGCAGGCAAATAAAAAATAAAAAAAACAATAGAATTAGCTTTTAAAGTCATAATTTTGTGCAGCTTCTATCTCTTACAACTGAAATAAAAAGTGAAAAGAGCTTCAGAGGACTGAGCATGCTTTAATGCCACATCGGCTTCCTGTTGTACCTGTATTTTCCAATCCAATCTATGTACCTTGATTTCCCCATTTCTCTATTCTCAAAAAAGATCATTGCGTGTCCTGTATATATTTGTAAGAGATAACAATATTAACGAAGAAGCATGTTCATTTCAGCACTGTTAGCATTCTCGCTTTTAATTATCTAAGTGTGATAGCGTAAACTGAAAAAAATATATTGTTTCTTAATGCAAATATGCCGTAGTCATGAACGACCTATGGTAAATGTTGTGTCACAAGCATACTGACAGTTTCTCTCACTATCTACTTAAATGTAGCGTTCTCTCACGATCTTTTTAAATGTAGCGTTCTCTCACTATCTACTTATATGTAGCGTTCTCTCTCACTATCTACTTAAATGTAGCGTTCTCTCACTATCTACTTATATGTAGCGTTCTCTCACTATCTACTTATATGTAACGTTCTCTCTCACTATCTACTTAAATGTAGCGTTCTCTCTCACTATCTACTTAAATGTAGCGTCTCTCACTATCTACTTATATGTAGCGTTCTCTCTCACTATCTACTTATATGTAACGTTCTCTCTCACTATCTACTTATATGTAACGTTCTCTCTCACTATCTACTTATATGTAACGTTCTCTCTCACTATTTACTTATAAGCAACGTTCTCTCTCACTATCTACTTATATATAACGTTCTCTCTCACTATCTACTTAAATGTAACGTTCTCCCTCACTATCTACTTATATGTAGCGTTCTCTCTCACTATTTACTTATGTGTAACGTTCTCCCTCACTATCTACTTATATGTAGCGTTCTCTCTCACTATCTACTTATATGTAACGTTCTCTCTCACTATCTACTTATATGTAACGTTCTCTCACTATCTTCTTATATGTAACGTTCTCTCACTATCTACTTACATGTAACGTTCTCTCACTATCTACTTATATGTAACGTTCTCTCTCACTATCTACTTATATGTAACGTTCTCTCTCACTATCTAATTATATGTAACGTTCTCTCACTATCTACTTATATGTAACGTTCTCTCTCACTATCTACTTATATGTAACGTTCTCTCTCACTATCTACTTATATGTAACATTATCTCGCTATCTACTTACATGTAACGTTCTCTCACTATCTACTTACATGTAACGTTCTCTCACTATCTACTTATATGTAACGTTCTCTCTCACTATCTACTTATATGTAACATTATCTCGCTATCTACTTACATGTAACGTTCTCTCACTATCTACTTACATGTAACGTTCTCTAACTATCTACTTATATGTAACGTTCTCTCACTATCTACCTATATGTAACATTCTCTCTCACTATCTACTTATATGTAACGTTCTCTCTTACTATCTACTTATATGTAACGTTCTCTCTCACTATCTACTCATATCTACTTATATGTAGCGTTCTCTCACTATCTACTTATATGTAGCGTTCCCTCACTATCTATTTATATGTAACGTTCTCTCTCACTATCTACTTATATGTAACGTTCTCTCTCACTATCTACTTATATGTAACGTTCTCTCACTATCTACTTATATGTAACGTTCTCTCACTATTTACTTATATGTAGCGTTCTCTCTCGCTATCTACTTATATGTAACGTTCTCTCTCACTATCTACTCATATGTAACATTCTCTCACTATCTACTTAAATGTAACGTTCTTTCTCACTATCTACTTATATGTAACGTTCTCTATCACTATCTACTTATATGTAACGTTCTCTCACTATCTACTTACATGTAACGTTCTCTCACTATCTAATTATATGTAACGTTCTCTCACTATATACTTATATGTAACGTTCTCTCTCACTATCTACTTATATGTAACGTTCTCTCACTATCTACTTATATGTAACATTCTCTCACTATCTACTTAAATGTAGCGTTCTCTCACTATCTACTTATATGTAACGTTCTCTCCCTATCTACTTATATGTAACGTTCTCTCACTATCTAATTATATGTAGCATTCCCTCACTATCTACTTACATGTGGGAGAAAAATCAAGAAGTCGGTCTGGTAACTCCATACCTTTTAACATCCGATCGGGTTATCGAACCGTGGCCGCCTCGGTGATAGGCGAGTGCGTTATTCACTCTGCTACACGACCACCATTCACTATGCCATACAGGTTGCATTCTAACATTGTTTGCTCTGAAATAGCAACATTTTACCAACACGAAAATAGGTTTTAGCGACAAAAAACGTTCGACCTAGCACGATGCGGTAAAGAATAGTGCTTTTATGTGTTTATAAGTTGATATACATTATATTGGACATTTTTCGTTGAATATTTTTCGATGATATTTTACCATATAAGATACCAAATAAAGATATCATCAACCGATATCCTAATACTAACGACCAATTTACACAAGACACACGCGAGTTACATGTAGTTAATACTGCAAGTACATGTATTTCATGTTTTCTGTTAAGTTTTATTTATTTTCTTTAATCGTTTTTGTTTACATTTCTAAATCAATCAAGTAAAATTAAAAATTATATAATATACATCAGAATTGTGTTCCCTGCGTCATGTACAAATAAAATGCCATGAGGGTTTACAAAATGCAGCTAGTCATCTAGACTCCAACGTAGTGTCTTTATACAAATGTTGGCGAATGTTCCTGGTACATCCTTTGATCGATGCCATTTAATAAGATACGGAGAAGAGTTTTCTTTATTAAGGAATTCCTTCAATTAATGGTCTGTCTTTTTCCAGACACTGTGTTCCGGTCCTTTCCGTCAAGCCAAGTCATCTCAAGACGTTAGCATCCGAAAACCGACCGTACCACATGTGGTCAGTATCAGCCGCATGAGCGATCTCTTTCAGAACACCTGCTACACACCATTTAATTTGCTAAGATATATGTCGGGCACACCATAATTATTTGTCAGACAAACTGAATTTAGAACGAGATCCGTCCTCGCTTAATATAAATTTGCCAGAAATATTTGGTAAAAAACTTGAAATATTGAAATGTGTTTGTGAACCTTTTGGTACTTACTAGTTGCCAAAGATCAGAGTTTGGTATTTACACACTTCACTATAACATCAACTATAAAACATGCTCTTCTCGTTTTCAATCTGTATTGGTGTGCACTCATTAAACAAGAAACAAGTCTGATGGATTGAAGAGATAACAACTGTAGAATAAGTAAATTTAAGCTGAACACTGTTTCCATATTTTGAATAAAATTCCATAATCCTATTTTTCATTTATCAACTAGGAATAAGTTATGTTCCTCAAATGATTCCCTAAAGATGATCTGAACGTGTTTACCACTTCCACAGCGTTAAACCAATTGTCGTCACTGGGATGAGTTGATACACATACATATATGCACAGATCATACACAATCTTGTCATTGTGTTATCTTTGTTGTTTCGGTGTTTGGTACGTTTTACAGTGCCATTGTTTTGTTTACGCGGCCTGTTTGTTGATTTACGAAAGTAGATACATTACTGTATGTACAACTTGGATATTTGTAAAATGGGTTTTTCCCCGCAAAATTCCTTCATTTGTTATGTTCAAAAGTCCATGTACAATTCTGACACCAGCAACCGCATGGATATACTGGATTTTCATTTACCATTCAAACGATGCCCCAAATAATTGTTCGCTATTCTTTAAAAATCTTGTGTTTTATCTATTCCTCGACAATCTAATTTTAAATAAATCATTAAGGGGTTAAGCCTACTGTATTTCGAGATTTGCGGCGGTATGTCACAAATTGTTTCGATTGACCAAATTAATGCCGTGTTACATTTCAAATGAATATAATATTAAGATTTTATTGGTTAAACATACATTTGAACATTACATTGATGTATTCTGTGTAATCGAGAATACCAGTTTGGAAGGCCATTGAAGTTAAAATCACTGACATGAAAATGTTTTTCCTTGTCATCGCCAAGATCTTTTTTGTTTACTTCCAGGATATTTACCCCCATTCAGCACCCGTCATTTCGCCGTCCCCACAAGAGCCGCGCACGCGACTCACTCATTCTAAACCAAAGGAGGGACTTCCCTCTGGGTAAGTAGACTGATATTTTTCATTCTTTATAGGATTATGTGTTGTATAAATCAGGCTGTGAAACGTTGCCCAATCAAAATTGTTATTATTTTGAATGCGTCCGCCGAAATATAATTGTACCATATGTAACTACAAACCTTCAGGAATGTTTGTTGAAATTGGCAACTCCGGGCTATGGCCATAAATGGTTTTATTTATATGATATCAGGACAAAATAAGCCAGTGGATATACAAACATATGATACAATGAAGGCTTTGGAAAAAAAAGGATTTATGATGTGGACTGTAATACCGTATATGCTGATGGCGATTTTACGTTATACTCAATGCGTGTTGAGTGCTGAAAATAGCAACGACAGACTATCTGCCCATGATTTTATCGTCTGGGTAAGTGACTCCCCAATGTCACCAAGAATTCACCAGACCATATAAGGGCGCGTCGATAATGGCACTACGTCGTTTAAAGCTAAGATCAAACTAAATGATTAAATAAGTACTTCCTTAATTTCGTATTGCTAGTAATTATTTTATATATAAAGTGTATATGATTTTCCACTCGCCGTATGCTACATTCATTCATAAACGTGACCTTGTGACCTCATCAAATGTACAAACCAATGCATATATATGGGGTTTTTTTCCTGAAAGGTTTAAGATTTATTAAGAAGAAATGTTTTCAATCGCACGCAATCTTTTTTGAAAGTCGCAGAATACGTATCCTGTTGACCGTTTGATTGATGGCACCGAAAACTGGCTCGATCTCTACATATGTTATCGTAAAATAATCCTGGATACGCGTTTTGTTTTTTAAGGTAATCTATTAAACGTATATATACATATATATATATATGTTAACAATACAATAATTGATCTAATTTTCTTACAGTTAATACAAACCTACGCATTAAACATATATTAATATGACGCTTTTCTGCCATTTAATCGTATGATTTCTCATCATCTGGCAAGGCAGTATATGTTTTCCTCGTATCTGGGTGAACAGTGTAATAACTCACTTCGGTATTGTAATGCATTCATTGAATTTTTAAAAGCTAATTTGGAGTAGTTTTACAAGTAATTGGTCGCGCAATCATCTATACAGTCTCGGGGGATATCGTAAAACAAGACGACGGCACTTATACGTCTGCCTCGATCCGCCAGCCCTATTAAACCACAGGAAAGGTAACGCAGTCAAATGTTTATAGTCGGGCACGATTTCCTAGTGGGGTATTCATTATAGCCATTATGAGATTCGGTTTATGCTATTCATAACATATGAAAATACACGAGGGTTATATGGCGCACTGTTATTATATCAAGTTTAATGGTATACAGGCTTTCCGCTATTATAGATTTAGTAAGAATTTCAGTATCGATATCACAAATGACTCCAAGGGATTACGATGAATCAACGAGCTTATGATAGTTTGACATTCGCATTAATAGCTGTACAGTTCTGTTCATACAATCTTCAGTATTATGACTCGCTAATGAAATATGACGAATGTGATCGGTATTGTAATTGAATTTTTTACCATTGTCGCCTATGGAACTTTCAGTAATCTATTCAATTATGCTATGCAGATTTTGATGCGCAGGATTAATTGTCAGATGTCGGTAGAGCAGGACGTTACTGATATGATATGATTTGTTGGCTTAGGTCATTTTTGCCCAAGATGCCTACGCTTGCAGTTCGCAGGAAGAGGAAAACGGAAAAGAAACCGGAGTATGACTTGATTAAAATCCTCCCCCCCCCCCTTTTTCACATTGCGATCACGTTTGCGTGACTGAAGTCACTTTCATGTCAATCTCACAACTAACAGACTTAAGGGATTCACCATTTGATTGATTTATATAGATACAGGTGTATTGGCACAGCCGTTTAAATTCTGTTGACGTAGATGTTATTGTCTGTTCATATAAATTAACGACAGGCTTAATATCCTTTACAATGTTTTTGTTTTCAAAATCAAACTGACAAATCAATAAATCGGTCGAGTAAATGATGTGTTAAGGACCAAAAGTTTGAGAAGATGCGTGTAACATGTATATTTTTTTTAATTATTTTCTAAATTAAGATACATACAAATGTAACGTTGAATCCCTTACAACTGTTTGAATAACAACGTTAAGCTGCATGTATCCGCAACACAAGCATAATACAATTGCTTCAATACTCAAACATAAAGAATATAATTAGCTCTACCAGATGTTTGCCTTCATAATGATTGTATTTTAGCCCTGTATTTTAGACTATATCACCTACTGACATACAGCTGATTTAATTATATTTATATATATATATCAAGAACTTGCGTGAAATGATGCCGTGCAGTATACAACATATATAAACGTTTGCTTGTTTGATTGTAACCTATTTGCACGTGACCACAATTAAGATGCACATGATTCTAACAGCAATCGCACGTGAAAGTTCAGGTGTAGGTTTGTATAATGTTGTTTTTTTTAAAAAAAGTGAAGACGTATCAGTCTTTATACCACATCGTTTATGCAGGGCAAATTTCCAATAGGTTAAGTTCACTGATACTCAAAATAGAACACCAAATTGATATAAACTATTACCATTTTTTATGGCCAGTCAGTTTCTTACACGTAAATAGGTATAAGTATATATCTCCTTGCCTGCAAGACCCAGATGTTCTAGAAAAGGGCAAAATTCAGTAAAACAATCCGTTCAACTGTAAGATGTAGGTCAACAAGACCATGTCGTCGTTTTGCCGTGGCTGTAAATTTGTAATAGCCAACTCAAATGATGGCGTCCTAGTATAACTTTATTGCGATTTCTTACTAGTAAATACTTCTAACAATCAAGGCCATGTTGTTCTAATTACAGTTAAATGGCCAACAAGCTAATGCAATTCTTAAAACAGGTAAATAGTACACATACTGTTCTAATTAATTTTGATAGTCAACAAGGCTATACGTTCTAGTTAAGTTTAATAGTAGACAAGGCTATGCCGTCCTAGTTAAGTTTAATAGTAGACAAGGCTATGCCATTCTAGTTAAGTTTAATAGTAGACAAGGCTATGCCGTTCTAGTTAATTTTAATAGCCAATAAGGCTATGCGTTCTACTTAATTGCAATAGCAAAAATGGCTATGTGTTCTAAACTGTAGTTAATTTTAATATCCCAAACAAGGTTATGCGATCTACATATAGTTATTTTTTATAGCCAACAAGGCTATATCGTTCTATTAAAAACAGACCACACAATTCTAGTATAGTGGTCAGTGTGGGATTGTTAAGATAGTCGATAGTGTAATGACATTCTCGTATGCTCTGTTAAACGCTTACAAAAGCGGTATACGTCAGTGATGTTGCGAGAGACAAGGACCATCTGCCCTGTTTAGAATACTAACCCTGATAAAAGGTTCGTTGACATCACGATGATTGCCAATTGATGTGCATATCTCGCGAGAGTGACGACGTGGACAACGTTTAGCGAATATAATCTTGTCTTACTGTGTTTACATGGTGCGTAGTGGCAAGTGCATGTTGGTGATGATGGAGTATACATTTGCTATTCGGTAGCACACTGTTGACGCCAATACGGTACAAAGTTATACTAACTGACGGTCGACCTTTTTATTTACTATGTCATCACAGGACGACCACTCTCGAAGTTAGTATGAGCGGCATTGATATTGAAATAAAACAAGAATTCAAGAAGAAACTCCAACGTGCCACAACCATCGGGAAGTAAGACTAGTGCCCTAATCACACACGGTGTCTCGGTCTGCGTGTGATTTCTTTTGCTTTCCCCATTGACTTCGAAAGATGGATGACCACATCTATCTCCCCTGCCGCTTTTGCATGTGTTTTTCTAACTGATCTGTTGTTATTGCAGTGAGCTACTAAAGTCCAATTAATGTGACAAAAAAGGTACAGCGTATACGAGATGTTGTCTAGTCATATTAGATAGACATATTAGCAGGCCAGACGCAACTACCTTGAGGGGTAGCCACTGACACGGGCTATGGGGCGCGTGAAAGCTGCGACCCATTACAGGACATTATGTCTGGTGATGCCTCTGTCCATTTGTCTTTCCCTGCCAGTACATCACACATGTCGCCGTATTAAATCCAATTTTATCATTAAATCAAGATCGTGTTCATATAATCTGCAAGTCCATGAAAAAAAATATACCGCCTTAGGAATCTTGACTTTAATCGTAATATCTTCTTGGTTATTACTACATTAGCGAAATTCTATGATATAACTAATAACAGGCTTCTAAGTACATGGAAAATATGGAAACAGCGATGGAAAAGTTATTAAGATATCAGCATATAAAAGGAGTTTACATGCCAAAGAACTAATTATACGATCTGCATTAATTTAATGCAAATAACACAAACATAGAAAGGCAAGTTATTACTGGGTTTGGTTGTCACCTCGTTAATCGTTTTAGTCATTTTCATTCATTGACGTTAATTACAAACAATGTTAGAACACTTGTTTTTCATTATGTTCACCTAGCCATTTAAAGTCAGTAATTGCTTTCTTAGTGACTTAACTACATCCGTAAACTATGTTTACCAGACGCACTCACCACTTATTTGTGGCTCTGTTTTAATTATTTCGAAATAAAGGCTCCCAGTGGTAACTGTTTATTGTACCTGCCAAAAACCTAATTTCACAGAAAACTATATTTCTTTCAAAAAAAGACAAATTCTGCCACTTGAGTTCAAAGCAGGCTAACGATTATTGAATAAATTGCTAGGAATTATAATGCAGAAATTGTATGTATAGCAGGTTGGGCGTTATCTCGCCTCCACAAAAAGCCTCTTTGGGAGCATTAACTTAGATGCAATTTTCCTTTGTAGAAACTCACTTGTGTTAGAGGTAGACGTAACCTAGTTTGCTATACTGATTGCTGTTGTTTAATATTTAGAAGATAAAGAGAAATTTTTCATAAATGTCTGTGATTTATGTTCCTGGGCCTACCCGTAGCATTTAATGGTTATAGCACATCATTTTCACCATAGCGGGTTTATTTTATTTTTTTGGTAATACATTCTAGCAAAAAGAGACGATAATATCACTTTATTTTACTATTCTTTCATTTTTTATATGCATAAAACACGCACAAAAACAGCATTTATAGCTTTAAATATACTGTTATTTTGACTTCTTACATTCGTGCGTTAGATTGTCACGATATATGTTTCCGTTTTTAATCTACTGTGACATTTGAACAGAGGTAGTTTTGTTTACTGTGAAAAATGTATGAAATGTTGACTTTCGTTTATAAAATAAAAGTGAAGTGTTTTGGTTATGGTCATTCGGAAGTTAAAGCTGACATTGCATTCTAAGAATCGACAGAGACCTTTTCCGAACACCCAAGTAAGCAAGAAGTCGATGGCCACCATAGTTGTCAGTTAATAACCCGACTGGGCAATACATTTCTCTCTATGATATATATGTGTAGCTCTCTACGTATATATATCACTCACCTGAGTACTCCAGGTATATCAGAAATGGGACTCTTGTACAACTGTTGTTCAACGAAGAGTATAATCAAGTTGTGACAGGTTAAGACCAACGATATTTTCACGTGCTCACTGAGTATGTGTAACTGCTGATGCATGGCGGTTAAGTTTCTTGCAGAATATTCAAATGTCTCAGGATTCAAAGGTTACCGTGGGTTTTTTTTATAGCAGAGAGTACATTTAGAATATAACTTATTCATGACAATGCAACAAAAACATTTTAATATTCTTTTTTTATGAATAAGATACTCCGTGGACTTTTAAAAAAAAACCAGGAAAAAGTCAATACTTTGCATTGGTCACGCCTCACTTTCATACTTAATATGTACATGGTCCCGATTCCAACCCTATGTCAGTAGGTACATTAAAGGCCGTAGTTCATCTCTCATTCTCTATCAAAACAATGTCTACTCGTTGGCCGACAATCAAGATTGAGACGCTTTCTATATCCGCTGACAGAAGGGTCTGTGACTGATGTAAACGGACAGGACGACAACTGATTTCCTGCTTTCGAGGGGATGTTTCGGTGAAGAAAGATCGACTGTCGGTAAATAAGGGGGTGTCACGATGTAGGAGAAATATATTTTGGTTCTTAAGATGCATTGTCAGCTTTATTGAGCGTGTTCTGTGAATGAAACTTCTGAAGGTGAGGGTGTGTGTATTTAGGTATATGACTACCCTCTGATTGAGAGTATCACAATTGGTACATTATGTATATATTGCTGTGCCAGTTATCCTCATTTTTCAGAATCATTGGTCACCATTATCGATTTCACTCAGAGGAATGAACTACATGACGATACATTCTGCACGTTGCCATTAATCCATTACCGAATATATTACGGAATGCATTATTAGTTGTATTTTGTATCACGTGACTTATCAAATGATACGTTTAACGTTTTGTTGAAAAGTATATTGATGACGTTGTGCTATTTATTATTTCGCATATCTATAAATTGTCGCTTTTGATTTTATCTGATAACAATTGTTGTTCGGTGTTTCAGAATCAAGCTTTCTACCAACCCTGACCGAGACACGAAGAAGAAACTCCGCGATGCCTTCTCTAGGTTTTATAACAGACGTTCGTATGGACCTAACCGAAACGTTAATTGGTCAGAGGACCTCAGATTTGTGTGGAACACGTGACCAACGCGGATGAAGTTATCTATGTCATTTTAAACTATAAGTAGAACACGAGAGCATTGTCATGTTGATTGTCAGCAGCCTCCTCATTGTTTATTTTATGGGGTCAATAAGTCAAATGCCTTGTTGATTTTGTGTGATATATGTAAAGACCTGACAGTGACAAGGTGAATGTGTATACATAATATGTGATATTTATAGAACAAGAAATTGATATGCACACTGATTACTTCCGGTTTGTAATGAACACGTGAATGAACATATCATTAATTGCGGTCTAGTGCAAACGTGTAACTGATACACTACAAAAGTAGGGTATCACTTATAAATTTTACAAATATAACCCAGCGGAGTATGACATGATGTACAAGCCATGCGTGTTAGTGTTGTTTAAAACAAGCACTTAAAATTGATTATAAGGGTAAAATAGTGTTGGATGAGTTTATCGATGATGTCAGTTTTCTTTATTATTTATAAAAAAGGCATTTAAGAAAGAAAATGTCTGCATTGTTATGTGCCAATGATATTTAAATACTGTTTATTGTATTACTTTTGTTTATATTTATCTATGTTCCTCTTTCATTTCAACATTTTTTTTTATTAAAAATAGCCTATGAATCAGGTTGAACAACAGGCTACGCCTCTATTAGTTCTCTCCTGTGAGGTGTGCTTCTGTTAAAGTAGTGTGTGATCTGGGATCTTTATTTCTATTAATGTAGAATCGATATGTGATCTTTGCTTATGTTCAAGATACCTGTACCAGTGCCAAAAAACGTTACTATATATTTGACAATATTTAATCTGGCATGACTATATATTTGATAAATCGATTAAGGGATCCGGCACATTTTGGGAATTATACCCATTTATGTTTCAGAACAAGTTTAAACAACTAATATCATGACCGATAGCGAGGTAGTTTAGCAACATGCTTTATCGACAGGTCCGGGGATGGAATCCTCAATGCGGAGTTGTTGCTTGTTTTGTCAGAATGGTAATTATAGTAAAACTATTTCTTTTTGTACATTACTTTCAAATGAGCAAACAATTATAAATAAAAAAGCCAAACAAATTGGAACATTTTTTCATTGGAAAATCGACAGAGGTTGCTGGGGAAATCTACTTTAACTATTACGAGAGCAGTTCAGTGTCTGTGACTGCAGTGCCCAGTGTGTGTAACTATGTGACCGTAACACTTCCCTTCAATCATGTATTATCGCAATTCATTTGAGAGTGTATGTTTCAGAATACGCTTACGAAACTATTATATAAAATATCTAAGGAATTATGACGAGTCTGACTGTATCAAATGAATGAGTTTGTTTTCGAATACGTCTTACAGTTTTATATAAAAGGGAGTGGGGATGAGAGGGCATTTTTATCCGTAAACATTACGTCACAATTATGTTTTCTTAGCAAACGAAGTCATTCTAGTAAGATGTGAAGAAAAGATATGCTCATTAACTGGGAAGAATAAAAAACATAAAAGGCAGCAGTTGTACATGCACTTGATACCATATTTCCAGGATCTGTATCAGCATTGCATGGATATTGTCAATGATAGCTTAACTTGCGTACCTATTTTAGAGAGTAGCTTGCTGCGATTGTATAGATCTGACTGACACATTTTCTATACAACGGGCCAAGGGGAGAACGAGTATATGCTGGGGATTGCATTGCTGTCAACCGATTTACAGTTTTGTCTTAATTCCCTAATCACTCTGTCAGGTGATAAAATATCGAACAATCATGGATCTTTTAACATCATTTTTTCTATATTGTTTATTTATCAACAAATGATTAACAAGTGCTATTAAACTGAATCCATGCTTAGAATTTTTATTTTCTGATTTCCAAAATATTTCTCGGGTCAGCGTTTAACTGTTAAATGTAGAGTAGTTATGAATGCATCCCACTTCGTTTAATTAAGTTTCAGTTATCACACATAAACCTATGAGTTTGGAAGAGGTCCAGCGTGTTTGGTGCTGTAGATGCATACTGTAGAGTATGATGGCTTCGCCAGATATTAAAATAATCAAACCGGCATACAAATTACCTGTTATAAAAGTTTGATGAATATATGTATTATAACCATTATTTCTCTTTAATTTTATGATCACGAATTTAGATCTGTCTTAGATCTGCCGTAATTGTCGCAGCAAAATGTCAAAGTTGCTTTGTTTAGAGTTTCCTGGCTTAGTTTTGTATGTAAAATACAATCATAAGTGCTTTGATTATTTATATTGCTTCATTTGTAACTCAAAGATCATGTTGAGAGCAGTGTGTATACATGTGGCGTTGTCTTCTGAGCTTTTTGTTTGATGAACTGTTGACATACCTCAGGAATTCAATCCATGTTAATTTGTTGTTATGACAAATACAATATTTATTTCTTACAAGTATGTTGTTTTGTTATATGTTTGTAACTAAAAGAGGATCTACGACCGAGAAAGCAAGATTTCATTATAAAATCAGTTTAAGATAACATGTTATCGTTACTCTACACTTTATCCCGATTTGCGTTAGAGTTATCTCTTTCGAATATCATACATGAAATAACCTGCGTGTCGTCAAATGCGTTCATTCCTATAAACTTTTAAAAGGTATTTCATAAATACATATAAGCGAACTTTGATCTTGAACTTACCCTTTCTTGATAGAAACGTCCTTGTGGTGCTTACATGTATATATACTATGTATCACGAAGTGCCAAGTGAGCTTATGCCGTGGTGCGGCGTCCGTCGTCCGTCCGTCCGTCGTCCGGCGTCAATATTTTACTTTAAACGACTTCTTCTTAATAACCGAAAGGCCTAGGGTGATGATATTTGGCCAGAAGCTAGCTGAGATGAAGGGCTACCAAGTTTGTTCAAATAAATGACCTTCATCTATTTTCAAGGTCACAGGGGTCAAATATGTTGAAAACTTTAAACAACTTCTTCTCAATAACCAAAATGCACAGGGTGATGTTATTGGGCCAGTAGCATGCTAAGATGAAGGGCTACAAAGTTTGTTTAAATGAATGACCTTCTCCCATATTCAAGGTCACAGTGGTCAAATATGTTAAAAACTTTTAACAACTTCTTCTCAATAACCAAAATGCCCAGGGNTTATATTCAAGGTCACAGGGGTCAAATTTGTTTAAAATCTTTAAACAACCTCTTATGAATAACCATGGGTCCCAGGATGTTTATACTTTGCAAGTTGCATCCTGAGATGAAAGCCTATACAATGTGTTCAACATAATGACTTTGTTCGACTTTCAATCACAGGGGTGAAATTTTAAAAAAAAAATAACAGGGTCTTTTGAACGAATTTTAATCATAAATACTGATATTTTGCCTGTAGCTTTATTTTAGATCACTTTTAAGGTTACAAGCGTGAGTTTTATACCAGGTGAGCGATGCAGGCCCATTGGGCCTCTTGTTTTATAATATAATATGATAACAGTTTAGAATAATTTATAATTTTTCTCATTTTCGGATAAAAAGACTTTAAAATAAATCATTCTTAATACAAGCGTTAATTTTTCTAACAAACATATGTCGATATATAAATATGCACATCTCTTTAGATAGAGCGTTTTAATAGATCGGGACCATCAACAAAAAACGAAACTTGAAATTAAACACTGCCCTTGTACCGTGTCATAGCATGTGCACTAATATTATAAATTTCGTAAAAATGCATTTTGTGCAAAGGTCCCAATTATGAAAATATCATGTATATATATATATCAATAACATAAGCTGAACAACGCCTTTTAAAAGCAGAGGTTCTCAAAGGATGCAAGACTACGGACACATGTTATGGTCGTCATCATCATCTCATTAGGAAATGCCGTATTTCTTTGTGTGGTATGAAGATTGATTTTTATCATGTTCATTAGTGTGTCTTGTTGTTGAGTTGTCACTTCCCCACTTCACGCTATAAGTATTTGATATAGTTTAGATTAATCTAGATTTACTTGGTGGCTGACGTCGATAAAGCAAACGAGCCTTACCTTTTCCGGAACACAAATGCTGATTATCCTTTTATTAGGTCAAGGGTTATATGAAAACCTGTCCTTTGTCCATATTTTGTCGTAGTTATATCGATTTCGAGTTCTGAGTAATATTTTGATGAATCTTCCGCATTCTCCTCATTGTTTTGACAATGTTGAGACCATATTTGTTAAAAAAAAATGAATATACGATAGGACATAATTTAGACGAAGAAAACATGAAATAGAGGGGCGTAGATTTTGGTCATCTCAAAATTTCTAAGAGCTAAGATAAAATCACATTTTAATATGATATAAGGTTATAGTAGATGCGAATTCAAAAAAAAGTTTGAATGATCTATGATGCAAACATTATTACAAGTGTCTGATCTCTTATTAAAGAGCTAAGATGGAATCCCTTTCTATTGTGATACAAGGTAGAAGCAGATGTATACTCATTCATAGAGTAAATAGGTTTGACTAATCTATGACGCAAACACTATTACAAGTTTTTATTGCGTCTGATCCCTTATTAGCAAAAAAATGAAAAAGAGTAATTGCCGAACTGCCGTCGAATGGAAAATTCTTACAGAGTTATTACAGATATAAAGAAAATCCAATGATTTGCATTTATCATTATCTGGTACGTATGCGACGCACGCCTAATGATATTTTCCTACATGTTTGACTAAGTTGGCTAAAGGCATCGTATGTAACAGAATAACCTAAACGACCAGGACTTCGTTTGTGTCACCACAGTACTGGTAACGACTTCATCACACTATTCATCGCATTTTAACTAGGTAACCAGGATATTGATTTACATAAATTATAAAGCTTGTCAATCCTATTTCAACAATTATGTATGGCTTTACATTATACTGTTAATGCAAAAACATACTGGGACAAGTGATGCTGAGGTTTGTTTCATTCAAAACTATAATTTCGGAGAAAACGCTAAATGGTGATTTTCTACAAATTCAGTATTTAAATGATAAATTGATGATTCAATTTCGCTATGGAAATTCAGCATTCAAGTATTATCATCCTATTGGTATAATCCATAATGCTTTTTTTGTTTCCTATAACCGGTAATGGAAGTGATTACGATAACACTGGAGGAGCTAATTTCAGAACTGATTGTTTCTACTTCCTAGCGACAATTGCAGCGAGAATACGTTAAAGTGTTTTCATCTCAATTGTAAAATTCCATTGAACAGCTTTGGGAATAAAGATGAAATTAATATGAAGATGAAACTGCGTTGCGATTGGCCGACTTCCTTGAACTAAGTATGATGCTATCCGTCGACAGGTTTTTGTACGATTCCATATGTTCCCTGTGGGAACGTCCAGTTCATCGTGTAGATTGTCCACAACTAATAAACAGAGACGATCGGTCCCTACAGCACTCAATCAGGCGCCCATTTTACGTAAAAAGCATTGCATGTAATACATAAATATTTCCAATTTGCTAGAAAATGTTACCAGCACAAAAGCAGTTTGCAAACTGAAATGATTCTAAACAGCTTCAAGACTAGAATATTTATCATTTGCAATTAAAGAACGATGTAAAAGAAAACATAAATTGGAAATAGAAACACAATATTATTGCGTTAGAGTTTAAAAGGTCAATGTTTTTCTACCTGAGATTAGATTCTAAAAGGAATTGAATCTTTTAAACTGCTTCAAGCGTTTTTATCACGTGAGCATGATGTATTTTTTTGTAATCGAATGTCAAGGCTAGAGACGACTGCCCGTACGTACCGCTGACCTGGTAACATTAACAGTAAGATAAGCGCACCATTCGTTATTTAAATACCAAGAGAAATCACAGGTCCAAAGTGATAAACCAGCGATGAAAATACCTTGGGGCATTGGACAAAGGATTTGTCAGGGTTCTCACATAATCTTTTGATTTTTCTCCCAATGAAATATGACTGTTAGCTATCTGATAGTCTCCTCAAACAACTTTGCGATTTTTATGGCTTTGTTTGTCGATTTTTATATTCTATTTGCAAAAGCAAAAGGAATATGTTTCACTTTCCAAATCCTCGTTGAAATGCTCTTTGTCAGATTGCTGTTTGTTTAATTTGAAGGTCGCCTTTTCAGCCGGGCGTTGTGTGACTAATACAATTTGTTCCCTTACTCTACTTCATGAAACTATACAACACACTTGTAGCAACCACTGTTTTTATTCAATAGTTCCTGCTGACAAAAAATGCATATTGTTCATGTATTGTTTTGTGTAGTTTTCATCCGTTGTTATTTCAAGGACTTGTTCACTAGTATTCAGGTTATCCCGCAATGTTACCAATCAGTGGAAGTTCATGCTTTGACCTGCCGCCAGCTGTTGGCCAGCCTAGTTTGATGTCAGTTGCCCCCAGGGTTTATAATTGGACTGCTATATCAATCCGATATTATCTGAGCATTTGATATAACAAAAAACTAAACAAATATTTTGGACAGCGTTTAAAATTAAATCATCCATTCACTCATTGCAAGTCTATTTTTTCTGTTTCATCCTTAATCCGATTGTAAGTTTGTGAATTACATGAAAATGTATTTCAAATACCGATTTCCCGACATTTTCGTTATTTCGCGGGAATATATTTGCGTTTGTAACGATTTGATCAAAGAAATAATAATTCACGCGTTAATATTATCCGCGATTAAAATTATACTGTTGTTGCTATTGCTTTCATACCGGTTATGTTAATAGCAAGCATATATGTAGGTCATATCAAACGATTCGATTGTACGGCAAGTGCACTTGTTTGAAACAGAGTTATGTTTAAGTACAGGTATTACAGGTAAATTATACAAGTTTACGAAAATATATATTGTTCGTAACGATTTTCATAAATTTCATTTGAAATGGAAATGAATTCAAGAACAGTTTTACCACATGATCACAAAAGTTTGTGAATATTGCAATAACAAGCCTTTCGAGGTCATTATTATCGACTTCTTCGCTGTCTACAAATTGTTTCCATCACGTAATGATAATTAACAGCAATCATGCGATAAACGGATTTGTTTTGTTTATTTACGATTTGTACGTGTTATTATTCATTTTGTATGTGTTTCCTTATATTACAATCATTCTTTACCTGACGTCTTACGTTTTGAATTCCACGGACATCCCAGTTTTAGTATTTTTTCTTTTGCGCTCTACCTTATATTGTCGACGTTGTTTTGAATAACCTTTTTTATTACATATACAATGACGTTTTATTTTACGTTACGTTATTTTCCAATTGGAATTTATGTTTATTTACTTTAAACAAAATTAAATTAAATACGTTGCTTGACTTGAAAATTGAATGAAAGTTTACATCCCGATAGAGATTTTTTTTCTGCTTTTAATATTAAGAAAATTATAATAGCTATTTCGTTAAAATATCTTTCTTTATATCTACATATAGGTTACTCCACCAAGCTCAGATGAAAAAGACAAATTATAATATAATCCAATAGGGGGTGACGTGATGTGAAATCTGCCTTAAACAAATGCTATCTCGGACTTTGACCAGCTTTTAATCGATCTAGTGCGTCACTGGTTGTGAGCGAATCAACACAATGAAATTAGGGGGAAAAGTCCTACTCTTTTGTCGACGTTAATTGTTTCTCAAATATCACAAAATGTTCAGATACTTTTGAACAAAACAACGCTTGCAAGACCTTACGTCAATAGTATAAAATGAGATGAATTAGTGAACTCTACAACGCCATATATCCTGTTAATTACGGCTGTAATTAAGAGATTTTTACTATTGTAAACTTGTTTGGTTATCGGTTTCAAATGTATTTCTTCTTTGTTCCGATGCTGATATTGATGTGCATGTTGGTGCTCTTTTTGGAGTTGCACGTGCATTTCGAGCTTGAATTTCTGTGAGACTTATAGTCTCCCTACCTTCTGTTGGAGTGTCAATCGCATTATTGATGATTCTACGTAGATAACGAGTAAATGCCTTTCGAAATTGCCTTTCCTTACAATCCTCATTCAGTTTGTTCCTGTTTTGCATTCGTTTGAATACCAACTACTCTAAATGAAGCTGCAAACAGTTTTAATAAAAAAATATCCATTTAATGTCTTCAACCAACCTTTTCGAATATAAAACCTAGTATTTTGTCAATGGCAGAAACCAGTTGTTATATCTATTTTTAACTTCCGGCGCTGACCGGTATCCCCTTTTATGTTTCAAAATAGGAAAGATAGACCTTGATCTCACGTGGAAAGATCAAGGTCAAGACTTACAGATTACTGAACTAATGAGAAAACATTGTGTCTTTGACAATACACCACTGATACATTTATGGAAGCTATAATGTAATAATAGGATCTGAAACACCGGTAAGAGAGCCATGCAGGATAGACAAGGGGGACTTAATTAATCATGGCCGCCACAGTTACTATAACAATCAGGAGGAAGTAATACAGATAAAACACACAGTATATTTGGTTTTGATTTTTTTTTTGATTTTTACAATTAATGAATATCACGAAACAATATACAAACCCTACAACAAGTTAACGATATGCTTTGACCGGTACGGATGGAGAAATGAATGTTTCACCAAGTGTTGTCACTGAATAACAATTACATTAAATGACCACTGATTTTATCTTCCATCAAACACGTCAAATATTCGTGTTAACGATGACATACTGACATTTTGATTGAAAATATCAATCAATTGAAGAGTTCCGATATTAACTGCATATCTATTGGAGTCTTCAGCTGATGAAGTCTCAGACAAAAACTATCAACCTTCATACAATGACGTCATTTTGTTCCGTCAATCACGTGGGATGATGGGCGGGGCTACCATTGTAGTAGGAGTCTTTACAGACTCGCGAGCCGTGATTGAACGGTTTTAGGCGCGTCATTTCCGTCCTCGAATCAGAATACTCCAAGCTGCCATCTTTGTAGAAAGCACTTTTGTTGTGACGATGTACGCTGTAACGAAACATATTCTAAATTTTATTTTTTGATTATGGCATAAATTTCTTGATCATTTGCAAATAATGTTAACATAGTGTTGGTTTTACTTCACATCAAAATTAATTAATAATTGAACTGATAAATTTAACATGCTCCAGCAGGATTCAACACAAGAAAAGTAAATTAAAATGTATTCGAAATTATACCAATAACGCTATTCTGCAAAATGTACTTGCATGCTTATTTTACAAATCGCCTTGAAAAGGTTACACTGTATCTATGTAAAGAAGCGACAATTAGAAATACAGTTGCTTACAAGATATACAGTCATGCATGCAACAACAAGGAATGTAATTCATCACAAGAATGTACGGATTTTTCCGCCTCTAAATCCACGGCAGTAAAGGCGTTTTGCTCATGACGACATACGTATGACTTTACTGGGCGGGCTGTATGTGTAAGTCGGGTGTTGTTAGGGACGTGTTTGGGCGGTACTTACTCAGACTCTATGAGTGGGTGGAGCCTCTCCTGGACCAGTTGTGTCTGTCTTACTGTCGGGACTTTCCTAACCTGGTGGCTATCTAGACAGGAGGTTCGGGAATGTCAAGGTACAGTGTTACTCTTGTTGTGAGTTAAACGGTGTAGAGCCAACTTACTGGGACCCGCCCCTGTATCAATGTTACAATGTGTGTGAAAGTCTGTGAAGAAGGGCTCATTCATGCACATCAAATAATTCCTTTTCCCATAGTTAGAGAGGGGGGATCTGAACCGTTTCATNCCCCCCCCCCCCCCCCCCCCCCCGAGGTTACTAGTTTTTTTGCCAAGGGTCTAAATACATTTCCTCAATCCATCGAGTATTTACTTTGTGATGGAATATATAGTGTTAACAATTGATCTGTGCAAAAAGCCGTATTGGTACCATTTGCCATTATCCATTTACAAAGGATTTACTTTGTCTTTTGTCCCAATTCGCGGATAATATAGAAGACGTTTTACAGTATAGAAGAGTAGCAGAATAGCGAGGACATACATCTAAATTTGGCCACGGTGACATCCAAAAGGAAGTACTCTAGTCTAATGCACTTTGATACAGACATGCAAGGGAAAAGTGAAATAATGCATCCTAGATACTCCAGTGGTTACGCTAAGTTTCGCTGTCTGTACCCTAGGAGTATGTCATAGCAAACTTGAAGGCACGCAACTAGCTATTTGATTGGTCGTCTCAGGTTATAGAAACTGACCAATCGTTAAGGCTAATACCTTTCCTTTGAAGATTGCAAAGGGGCGACGACCAAATTCAAAGCTATTCAATTTTACCGTTACGCGACTGACATATTCTTTTGATGTACATCAAAGGATCTTCTCGTCTAGTCCACAATGTGGTGCACACCGAGCCTTCGATATTGCTTTGACATATTCCAGGGTTGCAGAGAGCGAAAGTGAGCGTAAACCCTGAAGTATCGAGGATGGAAATAATGATACACACAAAACAAGTAAATATATCTTAGATATGAAATGCAGGATCGGTTAGAGGTAGGAAACACCAATATACGAGATATAACATACAGTGTACAGACGAAAGAATAGTAACATAGAAATGCGGTTCTAGCACGTGACACAACAAAAGCTGCGGCGGCTTACAAATGAGGATTAATCTATGATGCCGTGGTATGTATAGTTTCGTACCTCCGGAGGGGCATCCCAGACTGGTCTGAAGCGTGGCGGCAAAATAAAATCCAAAACCAACTTAAAGCAATGGTTATACATCTACATATTATGATCACGTATTATGTTTTTCTACTTTTGTTAGTTAGAGTTACTCCCCTTGTATATCCGATGTGTAAAATTCAACAAATACAAAGCACAATATCCTAACTGTTCTTATTACCAGGTACATGCATCACAGCATCTCTTTATCGTGTGTTTACACAAAGTTGTTTAAATTATTAGTTAATTATTTATATTAATCAAACCAAAATACAATTTAACATGTACGTCTGATATGCAAGATGGGGTAAATATGTTTTGTACATTTAAGAGTAAGATATCTTATAGCAATAGAAATAATACCATGAATATATTGCTCAGAATTCCCGTTCGATACCGAAAAAAACTACTCTGTCAGCTCACTCTTACATTGTCATTATAAGTGTACCATAAGTGTTTTATCTCGATTCAGGCGTAACTATTGGCAAGTCAACATGTACCTTTAAGTGATGTCACATAAGGTGACGGATTAGACAGGTTTCACTGTAGACTTGGATGCATTTATAGACCATTGTAATCACTATAATACATATTTTGCTTCAATTGAATGTGTGGCTAGCGTTTTTCTAGACAGTTATTAAAGCAGGCTACTGTTACGTGCATCACGCCCTTTTGTTCTAATCCTGTTCCTAACATGGCCGTATTAGACGGCGGTACTGACTAATTACTAACAAATATACAAATATCAGGTTGCGCGAGAGTAATGATGCATACATACCTTCAGAAGAATGGTTATGTGCCCTACTGGCGTTCACTGAACGCTGATTGCGTGTATAATTGAGTTGTAAACAGCACCAGCACACCACTCGAAACTCCTTTTTAAACTTCTCTGAAAACATAAGAAAAGCAAGTCATTAGTAAGAGAAACGGCCTAATGAAAAGGTGTTCCTGGACGGATAAACACAGCGTTTGATAGATACAGAGGGTTGGTGTCCGCTATCACAGCATCAGGAGTGGGTTAAGTCAGGACGCTGAGATAGCTCTTAAAACCCTTTCAAACAGTTATATGTGTTTTGGTTAATGTTCTTCATTAGAACAACTAACCAACCTAATTTATCGAGGTGCTATGATCATATATTTTATCGTGCACTGTTTAGCCGTCAACTCTTCCCTTTTATTTAAGTAGCTCTATGAAGTATAACTCGTATTGCCGTTTAAGTAGTAAAACGTGCCAACAATTTAATACATCATCTCAAAAAAGAACTTGTATGAATTTAATTAGTATGATTTAAGGGTGTGTAAGACAGGAGTACCGACCACTGTAGGTAAACACCAGGGGAACGACAACCTACGACAATGAAAACCAGCATTAGCATTTATATCATTCTTTGTGAGATTACGACTATTTCTGGTTAGAATGCATTCGTGTAACTATAAAATGTTATGAATGTGAGGCCCAACCTACACGATAAAACTTTGTGGGATAACAAGAAACCATTATTTGTTTTGTCTTGTCTACTGATGTATCAAAAACATTATAATCGTTGATTTTCCTTAGCTTATCTTTTCCGTACATGAGTTATATTTCTTCTATAATTATATTTTACGAAACCTATGATTTCCGTACATGAATTATATTTCCTCTATAACTATTTTTTCCAAAAACTTATATTTTCCGTACATGAAATATATTTCCTCTATAATCATACTTTCCTAAGTTAATTATTTCCGTACATTTCCTCTATAATGATATTTTCCTAAGCATATATTTTCCGTACATGAATTATATTTCCTCTAAAACTCTTTTTCGCCATTAGGTAAGACATTTCCCTACTAGGATATTTTCCTATTGGAAGGATAGTTCGAGTAGGATATTCTCTTATGTGTATTTCCCTTGTTATCATCTCCTGAACATAATCAGAGTTCAATTACAAACCCTCCTTTTTAACTCCACATTTCCCATTAAACTAAAGCATACTAAGTCACTTAAAGGTGGGTGTCATGATTATGTGTGAAGTTTATAATGTATTGCTACGAGTGTGATCCAACAGGGAAATCGTTATCAATTTATAACCCAGAAAATATTTCAACATAGCATTTATGCGCAACCTTGGGATATAAGATTAATGTATAACCTTTGAATACGGAAAGTTGTAATATATTACAATATGACTCCCACGACCTTGACCAAATTACTTTTTTGCGTTAAGTAATATAGCGCGGAAGTGTCCAAACACAAATATTAATTTATAGATTGTACAGGTAAATAAAATGCACAGATTTCAGTACCATTACGAACGGGATAACATCCACACTACGATCAGTTAAAGAGTCATAAGGCAAACATTTCCAAACAGAAAACAATTCCACTTATACTGTATTAAGATGTCTGAAGTATTAACAACGTAAAGTCTGAGAGACCATACTTTTCCGCCCCAAATTAGAAGGAGTCACGTCCTCAAGTCAGGTTGGTGTGTTTCGAAGTATTGAAGCTAATTGATTCTGTCGATAGTTCCTCGCCATGACATCGCAATTATACTACCACAGCCCAACAAAACGTCTCGACAATTTTTAACTGGTGTCGTCTTGAACCTAAGTAATCTCAAAAAACTTGGGTATTGGATTCAAGGCGTATGCGAGTTATGGTAATGACTTACCGCTCATAAAGTTGTAGATCACCGGGTTAATGGCACTGTTGAAATAACACAGGAACCGTGACGTCAGCGTTATCACAGATATTGCAAGGTCGGGCACACCATGAAGCGCCTGCGCATATCTACATAAACAACATAAACTGATTGCGTCACATTTGCCTGTTTGTTGTTATAACAACAACAACAACAACAACAACAACAATAACAACAACAACAGCAGCAGCAGCAACAATTAAGGTAAAGGGTACCACTACATCGATTATCAACCCGAAGAAGAGTTCGACTCCGAGGTTGTTGTTTTTTTTACTTTGAGTAAACTCCCTTCTATATAGAAGATGAAGCAAGAGGAGTTTTCCTGGCCTAGAGTAACTTCCTATGTCAATATTTTAATATGCATTGTGGTCCATAAATTGGACACTCATTTATATGCTGTGCTTGTATAATTCCTGTAATGTAAAGATTCCGTGTACGACCTGTATAGTTTTCTATTTGCTTTCTATTTAAATCAGTGTCAAATTTCGAACAACTACATTTTTGTCATTATAATGGCAACATGCGGTTATTATGGATTTGTTTTTTCGAAAAGGTCTCAAACGAATATTTCACAATAGTTACAGTGGTAATAATATAGTTAACATATTTGAACCCTTTACCTTAAAGTTCTTTACAAAGTTATGACATAACTTTGTAACATAATGTTCAACTTGATGACATATAGTATTTCTCCTATTAATATCGTTGTTCTCAATTAGTGTTCACCACTGACTTGCAGTGAAGAGCGACTTTCCCTGAAATTGGATTCCTCAGTTCCCGTGCAATGTCATGACAACAGAACACACAACTAAGCCATGTGAACACAGTTTTCGACGATTCATGATTTTTAAAATAGAAGTAGCTTTCAAATCATTCAGTGTCATTTCACGATCTTTATTGTGATACATGTACATCACCCGTTGCCAATACAGATCAGTCATGTAAATTTGTTAATGAAATACAGCAACGCGATGAGTTCTTGTTGTAGAAATGTTAAGTAACAATACATAATTCTACTATGAAGCTAACTGTGTGAATTGCTTGAGTAGCTTAACAATCCTCAGTTATTTTCATTCTCGAACTATTCCGTCTTTGTGTATTGCAGAGTTATCTTCTCTTGAGAACAGGTATTGATTGCTACGTCATTGGTCTGTGTGAGAAAATTACGTCGTTTTCTCAAAAAATAATGACGTTATTCTCACAAACAAGTGACGTAACAATCAATACCTGCTCTCAAGAGAAGATAACTCTGCAATATGCAAAGACGGAATACACCTAGCCATGATGCAATGCAATGTTTCGAAATCGTCTCTTACATTTAATTTCCGGATAAATTTATCCCATAATGTTACATCAAATTAATCCCTTTACTATCCGCGTTTCATACCCAGATATGTTTTTTGTACGATTTCGTCTTCAATGAGATATCAGTCTGAAGGATATTTCTAAATGGAATTAATATAGGAGAACGATTCAGACAGACAGAGCCAGAGCAATATCTGTATTGATTACGTTGGTGAATTATCTTATACCTCCATCCCGTCTCAAGCTTAAATCAAGTATACCAAGTCACTAATACTTCGTCATCTACCATATTGGTACACCATGCACGTGCACCCCTAATTGGGACAGCAAAGCAAATGGTGGCAATCAAACGTACCAGCTTGGCAATCTCGTTATATTAAACGAGAGCTGTGTGGGGGACCTGTTTCATCATCTTAATCACATATCAAGTTAAACGGTTTGTTACACACCTAATTCAGAATGTTTTTCTCCTGAATCAGTGGGATAATAAACCAAATGGCACAAAATAGTCATTACGGTAGTGGTATGCTAAAACAGTAACTTTGTTTGCAGAAAAAAACATTGGTACCATTTGAAAGAAATGTGCACTTATAAAGGATTCCAGCCCCACTGCACTGTAGTTTCTCCTATAAATATAACTTAAGGTGGGCAAAGACACTTCCGTTGACATGGTTCCTCAGTCGGTTAGAGAGGTAGTATACCACCTGAAGCTAAAGGATCTAATCCCGGTCTAGATCTGATGCATTTGTTTAAAATCAGAAAACTGTTGTTGATCGTTATTTGGTTTTGTTCCTCTCTAACGTTTTCAAAAAAGTCCTGCAGAGTATCTTTCAAAATTATTTTTCAAATCTTTGGCCATATCGGCAAGATCGGTTTCCATTGCACATTTACCGTTTGGCAGTGGTACGAAGTTCCTTAAAAATCTTGACGGCTACTTTGGTATCCGTGTCGAGGATATACTATCGGCATACCACAGGTCAGACAACCGCTCACATAGGACATACGTAGTACCCACACTGGTCTTGCATATACATAAAACCCACAAAAAACATACGTACTACCCACACTGGATATGCAAGTACATAAAACCCACATAAAACATACGTACTATCCACACTGGACATGCATATACATCAAAACCCACATAAAACATACGTACTTCCCATACTGGACATGCATATACATAAAACCCACATAAAACATACGTACTATCCACACTAAACATGCATATACATCAAAACCCACATAAAACATACGTACTTCCCATACTGGACATGCAAGTACATAAAACCACATAAAACATACGTAGTACCTACACTGGACATGTATGTACATAAAACCCACAAAATGCATACGTACTACCTATAAACGATATACGTAGTACCAGCACTAGATATTCATAAAACCCATATAGCACATAGGTACTACTCACAAACGATATACGTAGTACCCACACCAGATATTCATAACCCCCATATAGCACATACGTACTACTCACAAACGATATACGTAGTACCCACATCAGATATACATAAAACCCACATAGCACATACATTGCACGTACTACCCACAAACGATTAGATATACATATCGTTCACATAGGAGGTTCGTACTATGTTTAAGTTCGGAGGCGCAAGGGCCGATACGGGCCGAGTGGTGATACGGAGTAGGATATTTAAATGGTCGTGCTATAACCTGATCATCCAACATGTCGTAAACATTTCTTTTAACACTAATGTTTTTAGGAATCGAATGAAATGAAGTATGATTTTTCTTAATATTTGTTTAACTGAAAGCAAAGCGGATGTGGCGCATCTCTGGGCGGATTGGGGTTTGAATGGGATATTATCTAAGTACAGCTGTAGACCACATGCAAATCAACCCATATCACGGACATGTATATTATAGATGCATCGTTTAGACCATTTGACACATAACCTTTTTACACCTCGACTGTCATAAACTTAATGCATAACTCATCTGGTATCATTCACTGATCAAAACAAACGCGTTCTGAATATATGCCGATTTTCATTGTCACTCCATTGAACGTTTCGTACATATCTGCACGCACATTACTAAAATTCGTTAATTATTCGAATGGAATGACGATACCAGTTTGTTGGTCAACAACAGATTCATTGAAAAGCCTATTAAGTGAAAAAACAGCTGGTTCTGCTTGAAGGAGCATGTTCTCCACTATACGGATTTCAAAGGTGCGGTAGGCATGGTGATGTACTCTGCCTTCCCTTGGGCATTGAAACATCGTAACGGCATGCAAAATACCCAAAATATTCCAAATAAGTTTCAAAATATACTACACCCGTTGTCTCAATGGAACGCATGCCATACAGTACAAATTTCGCTGAATTCGTATTTTTACATGTGAGTTATATATAGCTGGAGACACATGTATATGGCGTCTGCATGACCTTGCCTTATATGATTTCCGGCGGACAGGTCCTTTGGCTGACAGGCACATGGATGCGCTTACAATGTTCTCGGAAAAAAGTGATGTGCTTATGTCCTGACAAGCAAGGATGCCGTACAAAGCTGTTGAAATTTATTGATATGGACTTATACATTTGGAACGGAGACACATGGTCATGTAAACGGTATGTAATGGGCCATTTTGAAACAAACTGAATCGTGTGTCGTGCCGAGAATCCTGACAATTGCGTTATCACGTGATAACGACAGTGACATTGAGATAAGGACCAGACGTAATGTGACAGGCTTTGAACTGTCATAAATGTTTCCAAACAGTTCGCAATGCCCTCAGAGTGGCATACAGGACGAGTCATGTTCAGAAGACTAATAACACAAATAGGTTTCACTCTCACAGAAAGGCAGGCAAAGACGCCATAGAACGAAGCCGCACAATAATGTTTAAAAACAACAAAAAGTACTGCTTTTTGCACCATTGCGTCATTATGTGTTAACAAACACATTAAAAGCAATCATCTAAAGATGGAAGAAAGGCCTAAAAATGTCTGCTATGATCTACTCCATTGGCTTTGTTGATTTATAATGTACCTATCTTAACTATACACAAAGTTTTCATAAGATCATTATATAAATATTAGGCTTGTCTTTTAATGTAAGACACGGAAATGCATCTTTCGAACAAAAACATTTTTGACTCGTATCCTGTTCGGGCATTGAACTCACGATTTCTAAGAAATATCCGACGCTCTGACCATTACCCCATCACGGACCACATATATACTGTAGAAGAAAGGCATACGATTTGCCAGTTTCAATATGGCAGCGTGGTTTGAATTATACACATAGTATTGAGCGGTATAGAACGGTCTGATGCAAAACACGTCGTCGGGACACGGTAATATTGAATCTGGGGATGTATTACATGACCGCAAACAATTGAAATGAAGGCGTCGATCTGCTGCTTATGCTTGTGACAATTATATATGTACCACTATATAGATGTGGTGTAGATGTATGACTTGGTTGATCATTGGTTCCGACGTCCGTCTAAGTCTTGTGATGTCCTGGGATTGGACCTAAGACTGGACGTTGCATTTCTCCTATCCTGTTACATAATATCTGCTCGACTGGTATCAAGGTTATTGTGGCAAAGGTCAAATGAGGGGATTTATAGGTCACTTATGATAATTTTGGTCACGGCCGGGTGTTGAAGTGACAAAATTATTAATGTATTGTTCTTCTTGACAAACAAAATACGTACTAATCACATAGGATATATGTACTACACACATAATATATACGTACTACACACATAAGATATACGTACTACACACACACATGTAAGATACACGTATTTCGCATACGATATACGTACTGCTCACATAGGATATGCGTACTGCTCACAACGAATATACGTAGTACACACACAGGATATACGTAATGCATATTAAGACATAGGTAGAACTTACTTTATTGTATTTAACATGTAAACAGGCTTGTAGAAATTGACATTAATTTGATATTCTTAACACGTAAAAAGGAAAGTAGAAATTACCTTAATATAAGCTGGCCTAATCTGTATAATAGGTAGGTAGAAATGGATCTTACCTTAATATATTTAACAGGTATACAGGCAGGTAGCAGACAAAAAACAACACCACCACCATAATGAGCATTTTGGCAGTCCTCTTCCTGTTGCGTAATGTGGCTGCATTACCGTCGGTAGCAACGTCTGAAAGAAACATAACTTTTAAACAATGTTGGGAACAAAAAAGCCATCAAATCTTCATAAACCGCTTAAACTGGTTGTGATGTGAATACGTATGGGAGGTCTTTCTTTGTGATAATAAAACAACAAGATAATAGGAATAATTAAATATATACTACTTTATACCACCTACCGATAGAATGATAAATTCATTATCATGGGTTGTCAGTACGAAAGTGCTTAGGAAGTTGAGAACGACTTGCAAACAACTCGAGAATTGATTTTCCCAATATGGGCATTTAAAAAAGAACGTCTGCTCGCGCCATGTGACCTTCTGAACCGGAAATAGCATCCAAACGAAGGTGATCCGCGCAAGAGAATAGTCCGTCATGAACAAAACATAACAAAGTTAAAAAGAAAAATATGATGATCCCAACAATAGTTTAAGCTTAAATATGCACATGGAAAAGCAAATGACGATAATATTAAAAAAAAAATAGTTTTAAAATACATAGTATTCCTCCGCAAATGTTTTAGACGAGGTGTTCCGAAAGAAAATGCGTCTTCTCCTTCATCGACGACACACGCCATGTTCATCTAGGTCCAATCCAAATAATGTCATTCCCTCAAAGCGACAACCGCGGTAAGAAATGGCAACGAATTACATTAATAAATCTCACTTATGAACGTAATCAAAACCATCCACCTTCATATCATTAAAAAATATTATATTTCCACAAAAGATCAAAACTTGCCTTTAGTCTCCAGTATAAAACTTATATTTTCAAGATAGTTTTTATTATCAATGAAAATTATTTTTAATACTAATGCAGACAACATGCACTTAACTTATCAAACTAATACTACTAAGCTTCGCATTATCACAAAATTCCTTCTGTTTTAATTGCCGTGTTAAGGTCGTATATTTTTTGTATATGAAGATGTTTGATAAAGATGTATAAAGCTTCAATTATCTTCTCAAGGAGAGAAAATTAACATGTTTAATGTCCTATTAAAATAATTGATTATTCAGTTAACATAAAGCAATTGCGCTTAAAGGGTGTCTAATGTTGTTAACAAGCCCTCGCTCCTGGTTCTAATGAGAAGTGACGTAACACACTATTAAGCTGATTTTTTTAAATTAATAAATAGCTGGAGGTGGAATTTCAAATGGTAATAAATAATCAATTTTCAATTCAAAGCAAAGCATGGATGGGCTTGAAAGATACAAAGAGCCGCCAGCTTGCATATAAAAAACGACAATAGCTATGAAATAAAAGCAATACCACACATATAAATATTTGTCTTGCGTCTAAGATTGCACTCGTTTACTATTCTACAAATATTATGTTTCACTCGGACTTATGCTCTCCTGAGTTATACCTATCCGCGAACTGTACTCTTTGATATCCGATACATCAGATGAACCTATATCTAGGACTTTTCTGGGGGTTTTCCAAATGGTAATAAAAAATCAATTTTAAATTAATATAGATGCTTTATGCGTTTGAAATATACAAACAACTTATGTTTAAAGAAATTGATACCGTCGGAGTTTCATTTAAACTTGGATAAGAAACCACCTGTTTTCACCGTATCTGATATATAGTGTCTCTAAGATAAATGCGTCTGGACGGATGTAAGTTTTAGTCATTGTTTTCACTGTTCGGTAAGATATCGCGCTATCTTTATTAGATTTTGTAACATGTTTCCTTTTGTTATACCGACAATAACTCATCTTATCTGTGATTCAGAGAGACAAAACATCAATACCACGTGTTATTGTTTGTCCAACATCAATAGATGTTTAAGTGATACATTATATGTTTATGATTTGTTTCGTTTTATCTTTTCATGCAAACAAAAAATTCAATATATCCCACGGTGTATATCTAATGTGTTCGGTGACACAGATTAAATGTATAGAAAACCAGCCTGTGCGAACTTTAAACATAAGTTACATAGAAACACATCTTAATTGAATGTATGGCTTTGTACCTCATTCTTCGGCGCTAATGCGTAAAGCTTTCAATTATGATCATATGAAAACGCCATTTGTCGTTATAACCAACCAATCTTCATGCTTCGATTGACAAATTGTTCATTAGATTGACTTTCTAAGCCTAACATTGTCTTTGGTTTTGGACTGTAATTAATGACGGAACTGTTTACATTACCGGCTTCGACACGCTGAGCGAGCAGAAAAGTAGGAATCGCGACGAGAAATGTCAGACGGAATGAGCCGTGATCAGATGGTTGGAGCGCAATGTAATCCATCATGTATTTTTGACGCGTGCAATAACATCCCATTGAAGATGTTTCCTGTTGGAATCAAGCGTGTTTCCGTTCAATGGCGATCTCTAAAATAGTACCAGCCCGCCTCGTTACCAGCGGTGCAGCAACGTTTTCTTAGCTTTCCAACATAAACAGTGCTGGGTTCCTCTGACAGGCGGGCGGCATTAATCTTCCGTAACAATATCACATTGCGGTGATAGTTCAAAAATAACACACTTGTATCTTACAGGATTTTAAATTAGACCGAAAATCAATTCCAAATGTGTATTTTTAGATAAATAAAATAAAATCCATATTTTTGATGAATCGCCTCTGCAGGAATGTTCAAATTAATTGTCCGACAAATTTTAGAATCAACAGAAGCATCAAATGCCCCTTAGCTCGGTATTTCAAGTATAACAGCATGTCATACCGTTTCCCATTAGGTGCTGTGTTACGTTGGCTACAGGTTGGCTTTCGCGTGTGTTGAATACTTCAGCCCTGTACTCTCCCATCCTATGAAACTGCTTGAGACCCCTATCCATGTTTCAGGATTTAGTTAACGTGATGCTGGGGGTTTTTTTCATTTACATTTGCCAATGCTAATCGAAGACTATACATATTTTATTTTATTTAAGGATAGATAAAAACACTTATTGTGTAGCACACAGGTATAGCGAAATATAGTGAAACTGTATAAAAGAGATGCATTAATTTAATCAATTGATAGTTATTAAAACAGTCACTGCAGTTTACTTTTATCATTTTTGTTACGAAAACACAAAAATAAAAACCGAGATTTTAAAACCTTATCAATTAAATAATAATTGAAATGATTAAAATAAAGTTATTTCCTTTGAAACATTATTTTCCACATCTCAGGACAATAGCGTCAGCATTTAAACAATTCAAACCAAGCAATGTCATAAACAATATTGGGAGAAAGTCAAATATAAGTCAAAGTTAATTGGTGTAGATAAATGTAATAACAAGTACCTTCAGATAGTAGAATAAATCCAAGACGGGATTTGTTTTTTCAGTTGTATAAAGAATTTTTTACGTAGCTAACTATATTTTAGGCTTTATTTTTTTAATAATACTAATTGATGTATGCTATTGTTGTATAAGAAGGTATAATGGAACTATTGAAAAAGTCATGCAAAAATCAAATTTATTTATTAAAGTTACCCTCCCCCCCCCACACACACGCACACACACACACGCATACACACACACGAAACATGTTCAATGTATCAATGTAGTAACACAGGGGCGTTGGAATTTATTTTGCTTTATCTAACCAAACTGTTATTGTTTAACAACATAAACCGAATGTCGAATAGTATGATTCTTTATTGTTGATTTTATAAAAAATGTCCTGGTCTTATAATATCACTTACTCACTGTTAAGTGTATGAAATCATGTTTACAAATATATGTTCCGGCCCCGGTCATATTACTATTCTAAATACGTTTCTGATAGATTATAAAATGTACACGAACAAAAAAATTGTTAGGATGTGTGACAACTCATCCCTAATACACGCAACAAAGTGCGCTGTAAAATACTGCTCAATCGTAATTATTGATTTGCTATGTTACCTCAAATTCTACAAAGCGATAGGTCGTTTAGTCTTGGTAAGAGTTTGGGTGTTTAGGGGTTGTTGATTGTTTCTTACACTGCACATGATTCGACGTTTAGTTTTCATACTATTTACGTTATTTCATTGTTGTAGAATTCTCCGAAATGCGTTTTAAATTCATTTGTCAATGATATTGTTTGTATGTTACAAAGTGTGTATTCTGTTTATTCCTTAGTCATCACAGAGTGGATGAAATCAGTTTGTTTACTGATGCAACTTGTTAATTACAATACAAAAGAAGGAAACAATCACGGGTTTGGCACTTGGTTTGATTCCCATGGTTGGCGACCCACAGTGTGCCTTACCGACAGCATAATTTGGAAAGAAAACTTTAAAAAGTCACGGCAATTACCGCGAGTTCTAGCGACGTGAAATGGTGGAAGACAATTCAGGTTATGCAATAACAGGATGCTAGAAGGAAAATCCAATTCTTTGTTGCATGAGATGTTTCCTTATCAACTCTAAATGTTCCGGTGGTTTTTTATGTTTCGATGCTAACGGCGTTACATTAAGTTTTGTATTGATCATGTATTCAATTTAACTGGGACCATTACGTAGTTGTTCAGTCCTGTATATAACGTGACACGTGTTATACGCGTGACGTACGCTAATACTCTCCTGTAGATTTGAGATGAACGCTTAGATAAGGATACAAAGAAGCTAAAATCACATTAATGTGATGAGCATTATACATGTATGTTGATGATCTGAAACACAAAATTGGTATATATAAGAAAGGTCACGCAAGGATTTTGTAAGCGTACATCAATCCTTTTATATTTAACTTTGCGTGTCATTGGAACGGCATTTGTATTTACATACGCTTTGAACGATATTGTGCAATCGTTTCGTCATTATTACGAGATACGTAGAGTATCTGAAAGTAGCTTTTGTATTGTAATTCAATACATACCGTGATTTAAGTTGTTTTTATATAATAACATTTGTTTCCTAACCCCGCGCCATTGCTGCCGAGTTCTTGTGTTCTCATCCCAACGCTCTCTCTCCCTTCCATCCCCGTAGTTTGTTTTGTTTCATCGCTCCTTCGCTCATAAGCAGTCATGTTCCTGCTTCTTCGCCGTCGCGTTCCCCTTATCGCCCACACGA